AAAAATTCGAATCTGTATTTCCTCCTCTTTCTCTTTATGAGTTCTAACAATTTAGATGACTTCCTGAAAAGGAAAAAATACTTTTAGCATAACTATGAGTGAAACTGGCTACCCATCAATATCACTCTTACAGGCAGCCACCGGCCATTGACTTCAGCTCCATCCTGGACCAGGTCATGGTATCTAATAAGCTGCATGAACTAACCTAGCACTTCTTCCCAAACGCTTCTCTGCTCTGACCCAGTTTACCAGCCTGGAAGATATGACCTGGGCTAGCTCCCAAGGTGTTTCTCACCATCACCCCATGAAAGCTGAACTCACTTGCAGCATCTGGGATAGCACTGGACAGAAACTGGCACAAATTTGGCTTCAGTTCAAGAAAGTTTAAAATACCTCAGCCCCAAAGCAAGTTCTATTAGAAGTCCCATATCTATATACAAACAAGCTGTCAGAGAAATTACTAGGCGTGTGAGGATGAAAGGCCTCATTGTGTAATCCTGAGGCCTAAGATCTCCAGAATTCATGGTTATCTGAAAGACCTAGAAGAGGCTGTGTGATAGGACAAGGAGGAAGAGGAGGAGGAGGAGGAGGAGAGGATTAATTTGGGAGTTTTTTCCAACAGTAAAACTTGTAAAATCAGTTTCAGATGCATGGAAAAGTTTTCTTCTTTGATGTTGATTCATAATTATTAACTATTACATGTTTTCAGATGCTGGGTTGAAGACAATCTTAATTACAGTGAAGAATTTTTTAGAACAATAACCTGAAAAAAGGATTGTCAATGTTCTCCAAGCCCCTCACAGGGAGAGAAATTATCTTCACTACTTATCAGTCCTCACCCTTATGAAGCTTACAAACTAGGAGGGCAATCAACTCAGAAATGAGACTGTAAGGAACAAGCAGCTGACATCACCAGTTGAGCACGAGGAGGCAGAGAATTAAGGCCACGAAACGATGCACACAGGAGACGTAGCACAGAAGAGGGGACCCGGGTTAAGCCTTGCAGGGTAGTCGGGGTCTGGACTGGCACCAGAAACAAGTTTCTTCTTGGAGGGTCTGGAGGCGCATAGGCCCAGCCTCCACGGCACAGCGGGGCATTTTCGCCCTCTGTGCTTGCTCATCAACCCTCTCACAGGGGCTTCCACGTACTCACTTAAGTGCAAAGGGAAACAACCTCAGCTGGGCTGTTGTAGTTACATCTAATTAATACACCAGAGGCAACACAGTTTAAAAGTAACTAGCCGAGTTCGGTAGCTCAGCCCGTAATCCCAGAGCTTTGGGAGGCCGAGGTGAGTGGATTGCCTGAGGCCGCAGGTTCGAGACCTGCCCGGGCAACTTGGCGAGACCTCATCTCTACAATAAATTAAAAATTAGCTGGGCGTGGTAGCACACACCTGTAATTCCGGCTACTTCTGCTGAGGCAGAAGGATCACCAGAGCCTAGCAGGTCAAGGCTGCGGTGGCTGGGAGCGTGCCACTGCACTCCAGTCTGCGTGACGGAGTGAGACTCTAACTAAAAAAAAAAAAAAAAAAAAAAAAAAAGTGACTAGCCAAGCATGGTGGCGCATGCCCATCATCCCAGTTACTTGGGAGCCTGAGGCAGGAGGACTGCTTGAGCCCAGGAGTTCGCGTCCAGCCAGGGCAGCATAGCAAGACCATGTCTCTGAAAATGATGATGACGATGAAGATGATGATAACAATAACAGAATGTTCCAAGTATACAGAAAACTAGGAGGAAAAAAAGAAAGAGAGGACTTACTTGTTTTGCTTATTCCTGAGGTGAGAAAATGTGGCCAACTCCATGGAAGGGCCATGTGACCAAAGCAGGCATTCTCTCGTGGCCAAAGCCTGGCTGTAAGGTTAAGAAGGGCAGTTGCTCTGCTGTCACATAAATCTGTTGGAGGATTTGGCTTGGGACTATGCCAGAAGCTTCCCCCCACCTCTCAGTTATCCGGGCACTCCCTCTCACTCACTGTCAGTTAGAGAGTGAAGCTTCACTTCCTGCAAATAAGGGAACCATTTGATCCCTGGGCTCTGCAGGGCTGGACGGCTGCCAAAACATTCTCCAAACAAGAAGCAAACATGATAAAATGAGTCCAGGCTGACACTGCAGCTAAGTATCATTGGCCCATACTCGCAATATTCACCCCGCTGGATCGTGTTTTGTTTTTCAGAATAAAGCCAGGCCCTCTCTGAGGTAGAGGACTCTCTCCAGTCTTGCTACTAAACTCCCCGTGCAGCAGCAACAGGGCAAAGGCAACATCTCGCCTGACACAAGCAAGTGCCACGGGAAAGGAAACCAGCTTTCCTTTGAGGAGGTAGAGGACTCTGTGCTGTGTATTTTTAAAATTCCAGAGGGAATGGAAGGTCACAAGAGAAATGAAGGCACGGAGAGAAGGGAGCCATGGCTAGAAAGAGCTGGGAGGCTTGAGGATGGGGGTGGGGGGACAATGGAGACACTGAGAAGAGGCAGAGAGGTGGGGGAAGGAGACAGACCGCCCAAGGACATGGAGACAGAGGGAGGAGAGTGCTCAGAACCCAAGGAGAGGAAGGAGCAGAAGCAGCTGGCGTGGTGCATGTGCTGCCGGGACCTGGGGCTGCCCCACGCCAGGCCAAGAAGGCTGAAGACACCCTGGAGGGTGGGGTGCAGGTCACAATCTACAGGCTTGCCCCATCCTTTGCATCTCCTCGTGTCTCTTCCACAAAGGCTTTTTGTAGATTTTGAAATCTTGTCACTCAATCTTCTTATCTCCTTCCCACATAAATAGGTTCATAGTGAAAAACAGTATCAATGTGACTGCCCAAAACAACCGAATTTAACGTTCTTATTTTGGCCATTGTTTGAACATTAAAAATGTTTAAGATGTTTCCATAACTTTACGAATCATGAAAGATGTTAAAACATTGAATTCACTGTAAGTCTGACAGATGAGAGACTCAAGGAACCATTTGACAAGCACGCCCCACGCCCGCAAGGCCAGGCCGGTTCATCTCCCCTGCCTCCCCACTTCCCAATCTTCTCGAACCTGGTCTTCTCTCACGCATGGTCATTCTAGGAACAAATTCTCTTTGCCTTACCTTCAAGGTACAGCCTGATCTCACCACCACTGCTGCCACACTACTCAGTCACCAGCCCCAGCCTGGTGTCACAGGGGCCCCTGCAGACCCCGGGGACTCAGTGGCCACAGCAAATCCTGCTGTCAGAGCAAGTCACCCCTGCCCAGAAGCTGCTCATGCAGGGCAGGTTGCAATGCCCTGACCACAGATCTACAGGCCACACCTGATCTGCTCCCTCGAGGACACACCCCTCCTCTCCTCCCGCTCCCCTCCTCACTGTGCTGCAGACCCATTCCTGCCAAACTCCTGAACATGACAAGCAAGTTCTCAACCTCAGGGCTCAGAACTTTCTTCTCTCTGATATCCCACAGGTTGCCCACTCGCTTCAGAGGTCTCACCTGAATGTTACCCACCAGGGCCCTCTTGATGCCCCTACATGAGACGGCCCCCACCTAGGGCACTCCCTGTCCTCAATGCCCTGCTCTGCTCTTCTCCAGAGCTTCCCCACCCGACACGCACTGATTCATGATGGGCTCTGTCTTCAAACGTCAGCCTTGTCAAGAGGGGTCTAGCACAGTGCCTGGTGCTGGGGAGGCACTCAGTAAACACTGCTAAATAAACAAAAGAGCACATCAGGAAAGCACACACACTTTCTAAACACCCTCTCTAGCGTGCTCTAAAATACAGGTGAAGGATGGCGATCAGTATGAACATCGGGTCCAGTCTTCATTTCAATTTCACTCCACCTGAAGGGCAAGTGTCAAGAGGTAATATTCCTACTGAAGACCACTCTGCAAAGGCACAGAAATTGATAAGTCTCTTATAGCAATACCTGCGACACGTCACAAGATGAGGACGTTGCCTCACCACAACTCGCCTTCTGGGTGGGATCTGTGGGTCTGCAGGTCTGTATTTGTGGGCACACTTCTCCCCCCTCCTCTCCTTCCATGGGCCATAGCAATAGTATCAACATGTAACATCCACTATATTTATTTAATCAACCCTATGCTTCCCGCCTTTAATTAGTGTCCTTCAGGAAGTTAGGGGTTCCACAAGACTTCAAAAAAAAAAAAAAATCACTGAGCTGGGCTCGGTGGTGCATACTTGTAGTCCCAGCTACTTGGGAGGCTGAGGTGGGAGGATCACTTGAGCCAAGGAGTTCAAGACCAGACTGAGCAACATAGTGAGCCTACGTCTACAAAAAAAATTTAATTTACAAAAACAAACCATCAACCCTACTCTAGGTTATGTATCAATTGTTTTTTTATTTTTGTTTCTCTTTTTATTTTTGAGTCCACATCTCACTCTGTCACTCAGGCTGAGTGCAGTGGTACAATCACAGCTCATCGTAGTCTCAAACTCTTGGGCTCAAGTGATCTTCCCACCTCAGCCTCCCATCTCTGAGTAGCTGGAACTACAGGTGCATGTCACCACACCTGGCTAATTAAAAAAATTTTTTTGTAGCAACGAGGTCTTGCTACGTTGCTAAGGCTGGTCTCAACTCCTGGGCTCAAGCAATCATTCCGCCTCAGCCTCCCAAAGTGCTGGGATTACAGGCCTGAGCCACAATACTTGGCCTTCAACTGGTTTTAACATGCTTATGTCTTTAAATAGGGCAGTATCACAAGCTGGCATGCACCGAAAACAAATTCAAATGAACTCTTTTTTAAGGAGTAATGATCAATTTCTCCTGTTTCCATGCAAATGGACAAATCTTCCTCATCATCTATGAAACCTAATTTTACTAAAATTTTACCAAAATCTTCTGTTCAATTCTGAGGCTTAAAGTCTCCTTCCTTTCAACTGATGGCTGCCACAGACGGTCTGTCTGCATGGCCAGACCTTCTGACTGAGCCCCCTTCCCTGCGTAGTCACGAGGTCACGCACTGAGAAGTGAATGCCCCCATGACCCAGAATACAAGGGGGATGCCGGCACATGCTCACCACTTCGTCCTCAGTCCAGCACTTCTCGATCAGCTTGGGCACAGGCTTCTTCACCAGGCGCTGCAGGGCCTTGCCAGCATCGTAACCGCTTTCGTGTAGCTAGAACACAACAACTGTCATTAGTTAATTGCACTAAACAAACCAATGGGAAGCAAACCACTACAAGGCAAGCCCCGCCTTTGCTTTCCCTGATAGAAGGGCCATGGGAGGGACTAACAGTGATTTCAGTAAGCGTGTACATTTGTTCCCATCCACCCCCTGCTGGGAGAGGGAGACAGGCAAGGCAGAGAGCATTTTGGCAATGAAAGGAGTAGGATTAAGAACAGCGCAAGCATCCAGTGAACGTGAGGCCCGACCCAGTGCTCAGTGTGTTCCACGCACTCATTATTTTACCTGACCTGATGAGGAGAGTATTCTCTCACTTATTCTTAGGGTTTAGGAACAATCATCACCCTATTTTACAGATAAGAAAGATCAAGTGAAGGTGTCCACCTGCTGAGCCAGTAGGGGATGGGGCCAAGACACCGCAGCAGATGGTAGGATGCCCATTCCTGTCCCCTCCTCCCCAAGGCATTCGAAAGTCTGGTCTTTCCTTTTTGCATTTAAGTTTTTCACCCATAATAATTTTACTAAACAAACAAACAAAATCAAAGTACCTAAAATTTAAGAACTTCTTGAAGAAAACCATTCTGTAACAGTATGCTAACTTTTCAGTATGTATGAATGAAGATGCTGGCTGTCCACACACTCCTTATTCTCTCTTGTTGAAATGAATCCACTTACCTCACCCCTATTTTTGTAACTCTGTACAGTGCCTGGCACCACTGACCACTTCCTACCAGGCCAGACACTCCCATTGCGGTTTCTATGACTCCTTCCACACCTCAACTTGCGGGTGACAGAGAGAAAAAGCAGGGAGAGAGATCCTCTTGCTCTATCCACATCCCCAATCTGTGTCTGTCACTCTAAATTCTCAGCAAATTCTCAATTTCCTCTGACACAAGGACTGGTTTTGTCTGAGACTTGTGTCTCCAGTGCCTAACCCAGTCTGCAGTATAAGGCACCACTCCAGGAAGTCTTGCTAAATTACCAAACAAAAGACTAAACCAATGCCTTCAGCTACAGTCCCTAGGTAGACTCAATCCAAATCTGAATCTCCGTCTATCTGAACTCATTTAGCTTCATGGTGACTAAGCACCGATCACATTCCAGGTAATGTACTAGGTCCTGGAATGCAGCCATGAACAATACCGGCAGGGCATAGAGTGGTCCTTCTGATCTTTTCATTCGCACTTCAAGCTCTTATCTGAACAACCAGCCAGCATTCACTAGACAGTCAAGACAAGTAAAGCCAAAGTCTTAATAAGCTACAGTCCCTATTTTCAGGAAACTTATATGCTGGTAGGGACACAACATACACAAGATGACAAAATCAAGTAGGCTGGGCATGGTGGCTCACGCCTGTAATCCTAGCACTTTGGGAGGCTAAGGTGGGAGGATGGCTTGAGCCCAGGAGTTTGAAAATAGCCTAGGCAACACAGAAAGACCTCATCTCTATCAAAAAAAAAAAAAAAAAAATTGCAAAAATTAGCTGGGCATGGTAATGCGTGCCTAGAGTTCCCGCTGCATGGGAGGCTGAGGCAGGACTGCCAGAGCCTGGGAGATAGAGGCTGCCATGAGCTGAGATAGTGTCACTGCACTACAGCCTGGGAGACAGTGAGACCCCGACTCCCCCCAAAATAAAAAAAGAAGATCAAGTAGGTTGTAATCAGTACCATCAGCCAGGTTTAGGCACAGAGCTGTGGGATCACAAGAGGAGAGAGTCATCTTCCTTCTTCAAATAGAAGACTCTTAAGAAGGACTGTCTTGGCCGGGCTCGGTGGCTCAGTCTGTAATCCCAGCACTTTGGGAGGTTGAGGCAAGTGGATTGTCTGAGCCTGTGAGTTCGAGACCAGCCTGGGCAACCTGGTGAGACTTGACTCTACAATAAAATAAAAAACAGTGCCGGGCTCGGTGCTCAGCCTGTAATCCCGTGCTTTTGGGAGGCTGAGGTGAGTGGATTGCCTGAGCCCGCGGGTTCGAGACCTGCCTGGGCAACTTGGCGAGACCTCATCTCTACAACAAATCAAAAAATTAGACGAGCATGGTAGCGTGTGCCTGTAGTTCCAGTTACTTGGAAGGCAGAGGCAGAAGGATCACCGGAGCCCAGTAGGTCGAGGCTGCAGTGGTCGGGAGCAGCCACTGCACTCCAGTCTGGGTGACAGAGTGAAACTCCAACTCAAAATAATAATAATAATAATAAATAAATAAAAAGTAGCTGGGCATGGTAGCATGCATCTGTAGTTCCGGCTCCTTGGAAGGCCGAGGCGAAAGGATCGCTGGAGCCCAGAAGGTCGACGCTGGGGTGGCTGTGAGCGTGTGTGCCACCGTGCTCCAGCCTGGGTGAAGGAGTGAAACTCCAACTCAAAAATAAAAAAATAAAATAAAATAAAATAAGGCCTGTCTTCCTGGCAGCTGCTACAGTCCCAGGGCTAGGCACGCAGTAAGCAGCAATAAATACTGTTGAAATAAATAAATAAATAAATAAATAAATAAATAAATAAATAAATACTTGCTTGCAACATACACAGCAACTCTCTCTTCTACGCAAATGCCATTGAAGGAATATCACAAAGACCTATTTTCAGTGTTCACTGAGCAAAACAGAAAGTTTTACAATTTTAAATTTTCAGAGCAGTCTCACAGTTTAGAGGAGGCCTTTATTTTAAATACTGGGAAGTCCAGGTTGCACATTAGCTAGAACTATAAGCCAACTATCTTAAAACAGAACACAACACTTGCAACATGGGCAGTGCTGGATTCCACTTTGGTGTGGTGACACAATGAAACCATTTATTTTTATGACATTTATCATTAGACTTTTTAAAAAATAAAATACTACCATAATTTCCAAATGGTTGAAAACTCTCCAATCTAGCCTTCTTTCAGAGTTACAAAAAATCTAAAATAGTTAGATTTTCATACTTTGCCTAAATGTCCAGAACAAGTATATATTTCCCAAGTTCTATAATATAATGAGAATTTCTTTTTAAAGAGACAAAGTCTCACTCTGTTGCCCAGGTTGGAGTGCAGTGGTATGATCATAGCTCACGGCAGCCTCAAACTCAGGGGTTCAAGTGATCCTCCTGCCTCATCCTCTCAAGTATACCTGGGACTATAGGTATGCACCACTAAGCCCAGCACATTTTTTTATTTTTGGTAGAGATAGGGTCTCAAACTCCTGGCCTCAAGTGATTCTCCCACCTTGAACCTCTCAAAGTGCAAAGGATTACAGGTGTGAGCCACATGCCCAGTCATAATGAGGATTTACAATGACAGGTCAATGTGGATCGGAACTGAATAAAAGGAGAAAGTGCATGATTATCAATTTAAAATGCACACTTTTTTTTTTTGCATTGGAGTCTCACTCTGTCGCCCAGACTGGAGTGTAGTGGCCGCTCCCGGCCATCGCAGCCTCACCTGCTGGGCTCCGGTGATCCTTCCGCCTCAGCCTTCCGAGTAGCCAGAATTACAGGCGTGCGCTACCACGACCGGCTAATTTTTGGTTTTATTGTAGAGATGAGGTCTCGACTGCCCAGGCGGGTCTCAAACCTGCGGGCTCAGGCAATCCACTCACCTCAGCCTCCCAAAGGCACGGGATTACAGGCTGAGCCACTGAGCCTGGCAAAATACACACATTTTAGCGATAACTAGAAATCAAATCAAGTTAATCAAATAATAAAATTCCAATGAAAAGCTCATGACAAAATCAATATTTTATAAGAAGTCAGAATGCATGGTGGTAATCAGTTATAAGGGCGGAAAAAACTGGACTTTGGAGCCAGGCTGCCTAGGCTCCAATTCTGGCTCTAGGTTTACTAAGGCATGTGACCTCAACCAATTCATTTATCGTTTTTGTGCCTCAATTTCAACATTTTAAAAAAATGGATATAATACTAAACATCAGCCTTGTAGGGTTATCAGGAGGATAATATTAGAAAATACAAGCTACTTCTGTAAAAAATGAAAAAAGAAAAAGAAGCACTCTTGTCCCCATTTTTTATCAGTTTTCGAGATTAGAGAGTAGCCTTTTCACAGAAAAAAAGTGTGCTAAACAAAAAACATTTTTATGTTTTACATTATTATCCATGTTAATACTTCATAAAATTTGATGAAAACTCTGGCGTAGTACACAGAAAAATTCTTAAATTTTTAAATATTTTGTGCCTGATACCAGGAAATTACTCTTAAGAACATAAGGCCTAGCCTGGCTCGGTGGCTCAGCCTGTAATCCCGCGCTTTGGGAGGCTGAGGTGAGTGGATTGCCTGAGCCCGCGGGTTCGAGACCCGCCTGGGCAGCGAGACCTCATCTCTACAATAAATCAAAACATTAGCCGGGAGTGGTAGCGCACGCCTGTAATTCTGGCTACTCGGAAGGCTGAGGCAGAAGGATCGCCGGAGCCCAGCAGGAGTCTGTTTTCTGGGTGATTATCAAGATTTTCTTTCTTCAGACAGGGGCCAAAATCACGTTCATGGAAGAGCTAATCTGGACAGTCCAACTGTATTTCTTCATACATCGGAGTTGGTAAGTTTACCAAAATATGGACTCTCTTACATCTCTAAAGGTAGTAATTGAAAACATTCCCCTCTAATACAGCATCATGCTCTGCAGGACTGAAATAATTCCATTTTGTGAAAAACATTATGTAGGCTTCAAATTGTAAAAGCATTGACAACAATCACACAGATATATAGTCAGGAAATTAGATGCAGGCTAAGGTAAAGGGTCCTTTAGTATAAGATTTTCTACCATTTCCCTAGAGAAGGCTGTTCAAAGACACTGCAATAATGTTGGGAAAAAAATAAAAACTTCTCAAATGTCTTATAGTTTCACTTTGTAGCATGGAAAAGCAATTAAAGCAAGATAATTAAACCTTTCTGTCCATTTTGCAGCCAAGCCAAGCTGGTAAAATCTGGGACTAAATGAAATTTTACTGCAGAGTGTAGAGAACTGTACATTTTGGAGCGACTGGGAAGACACTGGTACAAACGCAGGGACA